CAAGAGTTGAATCTATCAGATGTTCAAGTTGTTGACCTTTTGCATAATTACTTGGTTTTGAAGTAAAAAGTGAGAGTTGACAATGCTATGGCTGTACTGGCTTGTAACCTAGCTGCACAAAGTTGTTGAACTTTGCCTGACATTAGGGAGCCTTGTTTTCACAAAGGGCTTGGTGTATGGCTCAAGAAATGCAATTTGACATAAAGCATGCTTTATGTAAATGGAAGTGCTACCTTTATGCCGAAAATAGATTTATTCATTTGTGCCAAGCTTTGTTGATCAGAATAAGACAAATGTCCAATGTATTTTCATTTAAATAAGGAGTGTGAATTGGTTTAGAGACATGTAATCAAGTACAAAGCTAGATGGACAGATTTTGCACTTGTATGAACATGTATTGGCCATGGATACAAAGTGAGTTTTTGCCCAACTTCAAGCATTCGATTCTCCCTAACCAAAAATGTGTTTGAGGAGTTCTTGGATAATTTGGAAAGCTTGCAACAAGTACTATAATCCATCTTTGGAATGAAACTTGAGACTCCAAGTGGAACTATGTGAAAAATGGCCAAGAAGATAGGGCAAAATCCTGCCTAAACTAGGGCAAAATTTCTCTAAGTTAAAAGTTTTAGGGACCCTTGTTCCAAAAATCATAACTTGAGATCCAAAATTCTTTTGAGAAAACTTTGTGAATAAACGTTGTAGACTTTGTGATGGACTACAACTTTCATGTTGTAAGTTTTATTTGAATCCATTTGAATCTTGGTGAAAATGTGGGACAAAGTTAGGAAAAATTAAGAAAATTTCATAACTTAGAAAATTTCTAAGTTATGAAAATTTTCAATTTCAAACCCTAATTTACAACTTTGGGTTTCTTGATGAACAAGTTTCATAATTTGACATATCTTGATGAAAAATGACCATTGGCACTTGATTTTGACCAAAAAGTCAAAGTTTGACTTTTCACTGTACAGTCAAATTTTGATCAGTTGACTGAAAAATTTATCTGTCAATCCAATGCATTTGAGATCTTTTGGACTTGTTGAATAGGTCAAGATAATGTCATTGAGTCCTTGAGTCCATGGTTGAAATTGATTTGCCATTGGCTAGGTCAAACAGCCAAAAACTGCCTTTGTACAGTCAAAACCCTAAAAATGACCATTTTGCCCTTTTGGTGATCTGATCAAATTTCTTGTGGATTTGTGGTATAAACTTGATCAAATGGTTCATATGAGTTCATAATGTTTATGTGGGTCAAAATTCATGGGGTTTGACTGTAAATTGGTCATAGTTGACTTTTTCCCCAATACAACTGATTTATAGGTCAACTGTCCAATTGACTGGGCAAAAATTTGATTCAAGGCTTGAAACTTGGTATGGAGAAACTTATGAGTCCAAAGTGAAGTATGAAAGTCAATTTGGGCATTGAAGGTCCAAAAATCCATGTGCAAACTCAAACCCTAATTTAGGTCAACAGTGCAAGGATGTGTCTTGAGCAGAGCAAACCCTAGCTTGATCTTGAGTTCCAAGAGCTTTGTGATGAGAAATACTGATAAAATGAGAGGGCAAATTTTGGGGTACAACATAGGGTTTTGAAGAAGCCATTATGAGTGTTCTGTTCCAGTTCTTTGATCCTAAGCATCACTATTTTACCTTTCCAAATTATCATTTGGTACCCATAATGGAAGAGTTCGCTAAGCTACTCGGAGTACCTATTCTTGATTAGACATCCTTCATCGGTTTAGAGAAAGTTATAAAACCTGAAGATATTGCAACAACTTTACATATGAAGCAATCCAATATTGTATCTAATTGGGAAACAAGAAGTGGAGTCAAGGGTCTTCTTGCTAGATTTCTGATAGAGAAAGCTTAGTTGTTTCTGGATGCTATAAGTTTTCATGCTTTTGAGGAGATCTTGGCTCTGTTGATCTATGGTTTGGTACTATTCCCTAATCCAGACCAACTCATATATGTGAACGCCATCAAGATATTTTTTACTCATAATCTTGTGCCTACTTTGCTTGGAGATATTTTGCACTCTCTTTTGCACTCATAATCTTGTGCCTACTGGGCTTAGAGATGCCATCTAAGATTGGTTTGTTGAACATCAGAATGGTATCCGCATTTGGAACGTATCTGAATTGTATCTGGAGACTGGATTTGTATGAGCAAGGGAATGGCGTCTTTGTTTAGAGCGTATCCGAGCTGTAACTATATTTGAATGGATAACAGAGAAACATCTGTGTATGGAGCATCTATGTGCTGGGGATAAATTCCGAATGAGTGATAAAATGGCAACCGCGTTTGGGGCGTATCTGGGCTGTATCTGAAGTTGAGATCTGTATGAGTAGCAGAATGACTTTCGTGTCTAGAGTGTATCTGAAACTGTAACTGGGATCTGAATAAGTGACAGAATGACTTCCGTGGCGACTGCACTGAGGAGAATCAAACTTTTGGTGTAAGGTCCAAAATGGCATCCGTTTTTGGAGCGTATCTGAACTTGAAGTTGTTAGTTGAATCTGAATGAGGGATAGAATGGCCACCATGTCTGGAGCATATCTAGTCTGTATCGGATTGCTGAAGTCTGAATGAGTAGTAGAATGACTGCCGTGTCTGGGGTGTATATGTACTATAATTGAGATCTGTATGAGTAGCAGAATGACTTCCGTGTCTGGAGTGTATCCGTACTGTAACTGATTGCTGAAGTCTAAATGAGTAGTAGAATGACCACCGTGTCTGGGGTGTATCCATATTGTATCTTGGCTTGAAATTTTGAATGAGTAATAGAATGACCGTCGTGTCTGGGGTGTATCCATATTGTATCTGAAATCTCTGGATAGTTGTTTGGACAATAGCTTTTTAATCTTATCCTGAAAAGGGTAAAATGTTAGCTAAAACACAAAGTTATGTTGCATGATATGTATGATGCAATGAAATGTGTTCCATCAATGTTTATGATATATGAATGTAATGGATGTGCATGTAAGCTGAGTAGCTGTCTTGCTGAGGAAAATAAATCCTTGATAATTGGAGACAATGAAATCCTTGACTGCTGCCGGGGAAAGTGAATCTTGACTGATGTTGAGGACTCAAAAATCTTTGATTGTTGAAGATGAGAAATCCTTGCTGACTGCTTGGGGATTAAAGATCTTTGATTGCTGAGAATGAGAAATCCTGGGACCACCGTCGGGGATTGAAAATCCTTGGTGACTTGTGGGGATTTAACAAGAGCTTTGACAACTTCTGCAGGGAATGAGAATCCTTCATGACTTTCCTGGGAAATAAGGAAAACTCCAACGACCTCTACTGGGGAATTAAAACCTGGGAGGCTTCGAATGGAGAAACAGGAACTAGAATCCTCAGTTTGTTGGGAGGTAACTCTGTGGAGAGAGTGCTTACTCGGACGGGGAAATCAGGAGCTTGGGTTGTACGCCAATCTACTGGGGAAGTTGGGTAAAATTGAATGGTTCCTAATGGGGATTGATAGTTGGAAATCTGACT